TGCTGATCCACGTGTGGCCTGTCTGTTAAGTATGAAAAATATTTGGGTATCTGGTTTACTCTTTTGTTGTGCATGGTAGTTTGGCTCATACAATGTTTAATTGTGTATTTGATGTGTGTGTTTCATTTAAGATGTACCAGTGGAAAGCCTACGTTTGCGATTTGCTCTGCTGCAGTCTCTGAACAACACCCTGGAGAGCTTCTTTCTACCTCTTGTGGAGTTGCGACAAACTCATACCTATCAAAACAACATTGCTGCATTGCTATGTGATGCCAAAGGTGAGTAGAAAAGGACAAAAGAATGAATTTATTTTTTGAGGCATACAGCTAAATGTGATTGGGATAATGTATACATGTTTGTGTATTCTATGTGCATTTTACAGGCTTAATATTTTATGACACTAAAGTCACAGTTATGAACAGAGTACTAAATGCTACTGTACAGCGGACAGCTGACCATGCAGCTCCTGAAATATCTCTGGACCCTCTGGAGATTGTTGGAGGTAAAAATTTGTGACTTTACCATAGTCTTCAGACCTGAGCATAGTTGGTATAGTTTTGTTTAACGTTTTAGGCGAGATCAGATCATCAGAGAACACATATTTCTGCCAGGCTGCGAGACAGCTAGCCTGTGTCCCATCCTCTCAGCTCTGTGTGAAACTGGCCAGTGGAGGAGACCCAACATATGCCTTCAACATCCGCTTCACTGGAGAGGAAGTTCATGGCACAAGTGTGTGTTTGGACATTTTAAATGATCTGTTTTCCTCTCATCTGTTATAAAAGCCCTCCTTCTTCTTTAGGTGGCTCCTTTAGACACTTCCTATGGCAGGTGTGTAAGGAACTGCAGAGTTCTGCTCTTTCCCTTTTACTTCTGTGTCCAAGTGCTGCAGCCAACCGGAACAAGGTAAATTCAGTGAACATGTGTAATTAACCTTCTATTTCACTGACATACCTTCATTTCACACTGATATAAAAGAATGTCATTTTTCAGGGGAAGTACATCTTGACTCCCTGCCCCATCAGTTATTCAGAAGAGCAGTTGCTCCACTTCTTCGGTCAGCTACTTGGCATTGCCATACGAGCAGATATCCCACTCCCATTGGACTTACTGGGCTCATTCTGGAAGGGTTTGGTGGGCGAGAGCCTAGACTCAGAGCATGACTTACAGGAAGCAGATGTTCTCACATACAATTTGGTTCAAAAAATTGAAAATGTAACTATCAGTGTTAATTGCTTGTAACCTATTTTTGGCCTATTATGTGATTTATTTTGGGGTGTTTGTACAGGTTAATGATGAGGCAGAGTTGGAAGCGCTCTGCGCAGAGATCTCTTCTCAGCACCATTCTGGTGAAAGTCCGGATTCCCCGAGCCGACCGTGCTGCACTTTTACATATTTCACGATGAGTGGTGAAGAGGTGGAGCTGTGCCAGGGCGGGCGCAGCCTCACTGTCAGGTACCATACTGTAGATTGTACTTAATATGGCTTAGTCATGTGTGTGTTTTATTTAACCAGTTTTTGATATTGTATATATACAGTTTCAATCCAAAATAAAACATGCACTTGCATCTCTTGTGTAGTTGGGAAAATAAGGATATGTATGCTCGTGCTCTGAGGAATCTTCGTCTGAGAGAGCTGCAGAATCTTGAGTGTATGACAGCTGTGCGTGCAGGACTGGCCTCTATCATTCCTCTTCAGCTCCTCACTATGCTCAGTCCATTTGAGGTGGAGCTACGCACCTGTGGCCTACCTTACATCAACCTAGAGTTTCTGAAGGTTTGTGTGATCAAATAAAAAAAAACAAAAAAAAAACAATCGCAGAGCCCATATGGGATTGAGTGACTATTATTTCTCCTGTTGTTGTTATCTGTAGGCTCACACTATGTACCAGGTGGGTCTGATGGAAACTGATCAGCACATTGAGTTCTTCTGGACAGCACTTGAGATGTTTACACAGGAGGAGCTTTGCAAATTCATCAAGTTTGCCTGCAACCAAGAACGAATCCCCTTCACCTGCCCCTGCAAAGACGGAGGCCCAGACACAGCTCATGTTCCTCCTTATCCCATGAAGATTGCGCCCCCTGATGGAGCAGCAGGTATGTGTACCTTCCATTTGATAAGCTAGCCTTCTGTTCTTTTTTGTGTTTTAATGCAATTTAAACTACATTGTGCAGTAGAGCATACATGCATATGTTTGATAAAGATTCACTGGAAAGATTAAGTCTTTTGAAACATTGACAAACAATGACAACCAGTTTACTGACATACACTACTAGATAAGGTGTGCTATTATCATGTAGGCTCCTTATCATGGCTAACAGTTGCCTCAAAGCACTCAGTGGCCTCTTATACTTGTGTGACAAATGGTCTGCAGGTAAACGTCTAGCAAGGCAAGTATTTTTATTCTTATATATTTGTAGTCTTCTAGTCTTCTGATGACCTGTTAATTATAATTACTGTAGTGTTTCCCATAGATTATGGAGAGACTGGTGACACAAATAATTAACAATTTTAATACATTTATCAAATAAATTTAATAAATACAGTTGATGAATAAATATTGTTGCCTATATTTAATCTTTAAGCAGCCAATATAGTTATTAAATGAAAAGTGATTTTGTGTTTTCAGGTCAGCCTGACTCTCGCTACATCCGAGTGGAGACCTGTATGTTCATGGTCAAACTGCCTCAGTACACGTCTTTGGATGTGATGCTGGAGAAACTGCGATATGCCATTCACTATCGCGAGGATCCACTCAGCGGCTAAGAGAACTTGATGATGGAGTCATTTTCCACTGTACTTCATTTTTTGTCGACAATTTTCATCTTTTTATTTTTATGCTGCTTTTGGCTTTTTTTTTTTCTTTTGCCTATTTTGCAATTTTATTCAAAGCTTAAAACAGTTATGTTTTTGTATAAAATTCAGGGAAGACTATCTGAGCTAACATTGGCGCTGCAGATGTGATTGTTCTGGTTGCACTGAGTATGAGAATACAAGTATTACTTTTTATTTCATTCGATTTCTATGAATTGAAATGTGATGAAATGAGACCAGTTGTTCTTCTGCTGCAAATGTCACAAACACAAGAAGAACATTAAACTGTGACTGGTCTGTACTATTTAGATGTCGCTGTGAATGCAGTCACTAACTCTGTTACTCTCAAAGCTTAATCTAGCTGCCTCCCTTTGGCCCCCTTTTAGGGCTGATGTTCAGTGATTTGCCTTTGCTGTTGGAGCCTCTGTGAACATAAAGAAACTCAGTGGAATATGTGAAACTGAGGTAAGAGTGAAAAAGGGACTGTGGTGCTGCCTACTCTGATCAGCTCTAATGCTGTACATTCTATTACACTGTTGTTGCCTGTTTTAAATACAGTATCTATTGCTAAATGTATGCCTAAACTAAAACATTTTATCCAAATCTCAACAAATACTCAATTATTATTATATAGTAAATTGCTCTTTTAATATCCAGACATTTAGGCAGCATAGTGAGTATGACTGAAAGGGTATACAATAGGTGTTCTATTTGCATTACCGGTTTCAAACCCCAGTGCTGCATTTTGATGTGAGGAAAGCATCTTTTCAGCTACTTTAAATTACTGTTTTGTGCTTCTGCTACTGAATGTGAAAAATGTACCTGCTCTGCTCCCTAATCTACATACATCTGATTGGAGCAGTGGATGATTTTTGGTTCTGCCTTTTTCTAAAAATAGGAAAAAAGTATTCATATATTTTGTTTGTTCTCACCATAACCAAATGTTTAGCTGTGTACAAATTTATTAGTACATTTATGTATATTGACTAAGGTCATGTTTGATGGCGGTTTTTATTAATTGCTATTACTTCACCTTCGTCTACTTTTGTTTGCACTACCCTTCCAAGAAAAAAATTAACAAACTACGTGGTGGGCATCTAGTTTGTTTTTATTATTTTGGGATATTGAGTCATTTAATTATTACCTCGTGTCTTCTACTTTCATTTTTTTGCTTATGGTGAAAAAAGATTTTCTTGTGAAGTCACTTTTTAAATTTTGCTGAAAACATCGATCATTTGATTTATTATGATTTGATGTGTTGCCTGCGGATTTAGTTCTCTTCTTTTGAAGGGTGTAGGTCGCTGCTAGCAGATACGTTCTTACTCTTCTGCTTTTTTGTTCTGGGCAGAAGTGGTTACACTAAAGGACATATCCATTCAAAGATGTTGCGATAAATTGTGTGCTGTACATTTATGTGATATTTATTACAATTATTTATGGTTGCATTAACTTAACTTTTACTGTCTTACCTCTGCACAGAAGCTTAACATATCTAAAATGGATTATACAAATGTAAACAATGAGATGGCATTTGAGATTTCTGTGTCACAATAAAGAAATGTCCACGTTAAACACTTTTGGATCTGTGTTGTCATTCATTATGCATTTTTTCATTTTACTGTGTTTGAATAGATTTACACAATCAAAAGGCTATGCTTAAATGGATGTGTTTGGATAAAATGTATAGAGCCATTAAGCATGTTTTGTCCTCCTGCCTCCCACTGGGGGCCTTGTGACAAGACTGCTGTTACATCACACTGCATGTAAACCAGACACCAGTAAGTGCTGGGCCTGGCCAGTTCAAGCTGGATTCATGCCGTGCTCCTTAAAGACTCACTCACTTTCTTCAGCTGATTTATGAGTGTGGTGAATCATTTGTACCATAATGTTATAAAAGTAGGGCAGCACATAATTTGACATGTGAACTCTTTATTTTTTGACAGAACTGATGAAGTGAAGTTATTTACAGTGTTGTTCATTGTGTAGTTCCAGGAATCTTGAGTAACACTAAAAGTGGATGTACAGGAGTCATCACCTAAAGCTGTATTATTCTAACATGAAGACCCAGCAACATTTTAAAAACCTCTGGGCAAACGAACTGTAAGAAAATGAGACACATCCCTATAAATGTAAATTAAAAAAATAAAATAAAATTATATATATATATGAAATGAGAGAAAATAAAACCCTTTGACATGTCATTATTTTTTATTAATTCAGTGAGCTACAATACAAAAACACTAATATACACACGTTCAACAGAACAATATATGTTATTGCATGATGCAAACGTGTCAGTGCAGGTTTTTCCAATATATTTAGTTAGAATAAATATATTCCACAGCTTATCACCTACACACTCTGTCTGAAGAGTTTAACTCTGGAATGATTAAGGTGACCAAAAAATAGGCAATTGGCTAAAGGCACCACAGTGAGACCAGTGGGGCCTGTCTAAGGTGCTAAACCATGCCCAGCTGCTTTTTGAGCCCCCAGAGCTGCTCCATGCTGATGTTGTTGCCCCCACACACCACAATGACCACAGGACCTAACTGCTTTGCCAGCTTGTCCTCATCCTGCAGCTTTTTAATTATGTCACTGTACACAGCTGCCAGAGCAGCACCGCAGGCTGGCTCTACCAAGATCTTCTCATCATCTGTACGAAAACAGATACTGTTACTCTCACATTTACAGTAGATGTGGCCATCTTTACAATCATAAAATGGACTTACCCAGAAAGCGCTCAACAGCTTTGACAGCCTCATGGTCTGTGACTATTTGTGAAACCACTGTGTGCTCCTTTACTAATTTCATAGTTTGTTTGGAAACTCTGGTCAAGCCCAGTGTTGTAGCCACACTGAAAAAAAACTTGAGATTAATAAATTCAGATAAAAAAAAAATCATCTTGTTGTGTTAACATACCTGGTTATTTCAGGTAAAGTCACAAGCTCTCCTGCCTTCATGGCTGCATTGAGGCTGTGGGCTCCGATGGTTTCCATGGCAACGATAGGCACATCGTCCCAACCGGCTCTCCGCAGTCCCTCCACCACCCCGTTCAGCAGGCCTCCCCCACCCACCGACAGGACCACCGCCCCAGGCTTCTCTCTCAGGTCCTGCTCCAGTTCTTTAACCAGAGACGTGTGGCCTTCCCTGTAAGCAGAGCCAATGGTAATGTACTGTGGATATTAAATGTGAGAATATAGGAATATAGAATTTTCCGTCATATTTAGTCTCTAACAGAAAACATGAATATGAACAAAGAAATAAAATGCTATACTTTCAAAAATGTTTAGCAAATAGTGCAAAGTAGAAACAGGCATTCAGTTCACTTACCAAATGAGTGGATCATCAAAAGGAGAGATGAAAATCCATCCAGGGTTATTGGTGACTAGCTGCTGCCCATAATCAATGCTTTCATTTAGAGCCTGTAAAATTTGTATGTTGTATATGTTGTATATTTGTATCTTTGGACAAGAGAGAGATTTAATGAAAAATGAAGACTGAATAACTCACTTTTCCATGAATGATAACATTGGCCCCTTCGTCCTTTAGCCGCTCGACTGTCGCATTTGGGGTGACACTGGGAACTACAATAGTGGCAGGGATCCCGAGCTGACGTGCAGAATAAGCTGCTGCCATACCAGCATTACCTCCTATTGGACAAAAACATTAAATACTGCACAGTGTAGCACTGGGACACAGTGAATGTGAATGTGAAAGGACTTACCAGAGCAGCACACAAACTGCTGACATCCTTTTTCTGCCCACTGCAATAATCACACACATGAACAGGTATAAAAATAATAAATGGATGGTTAACTGTAATAAGTGAACGACGTTGTGAAACAATAATACTCACTGTCTTGCATAGATGACCGATGCCCCTTATTTTGAATGAGCCTGTGGGCTGAGCTGAGTCCAGTTTGAGGTAAATAGATGTCCCTGCCACCTTGGTAAGTGCCAAGCTCTGTCTGACAGGAGTGGACACGTGGAGTTGGGTGTGAGTCTTCATGTTACTGTAGTATGAAGAACACAGTTTTAATATATATTGGCAACATCCTGTTTAATTCACATGGAAACACACAAAAAGGACATTTACCCTGACTTAAGCTTCCAGTTTGAGGTAGATGTTGTCCAGCTTTATTTCTCATTCCCATGTAAATAGCATTTATATGCACATGTCTGGTGGGCTTGGTACTATGATGCATTTGCAGACCAATCAGCAACAGGCATAAACCCTGTGGCCCCTCCCAGTGACTTCGAGGATGACACAGCCCCAGAGTGAACTGTCATCATTTGTGCTGTTGTGTTGTGTACAGCAGCCCTGCAAGAAACTGCATCTGGTTCTTCAGAGCTTAATAACAACCCTATGTGCGTTAATGTTACCTTGAACTATTATTAATAGTCTAATAAATTGCAGTGTATAATAATATGAACTATCCAAAATTCATAATAGCTTTATTCATTTTAATAAGCCCGTTCATTAATTTTACTGCCATATGGTGTAGAACATTGGCACCTGTCACTTTTTGACCCGACGTCCCATAATCGCTCCCGCTAAAGGAAGAGGACACACTCCCGGTGTTACCAAAACAGTCGCTACTATTTCTACCGCTACCAAAAGAAGGAGTCGAGAAGTCACACTGCGTACGGACGGTTCAAACCTGAATGATCCGGTGCCTCCAGCACAACTCCCACATCACTTTAAATGTGGATCAAATCTATTAGGCTAAGAATAAAAAAAGGCTTAAAATAAAACTAAAATAAAGACAACACTATAGGTGCAAGTCTTACGGCCCCAGGCTTTATGCCTAATGTAGGCCCACAATTATTGTCAGAACAGGACAATAGGATTTCTTCCACAATAAATGAAATAGCTCACTGACTTAGCCAACACCATAATCAATATCATGATTTCAGTAGGCCTATCTCAGACGCTTGACAAGTAATTGACAAGTGAAAACCAAACCTATTTCCTATAATTAGAATCATAGCACCATCTATAGGCTAAGGGTTGTATACAGGCCGTACTGACGTCATAGAAGACTTGTAGGCATGTATATACATGCACTCTCACTTTATGTTCTATATATGTGTGTATGCGTGCGTGTTTGTTTTGGCTAAAAGTTACTCACTGTGGCTTTAATTCACACATTGCATTGTCTTTGAGAAAAACCCGTTTTGTTATTTATAGCCTATTGTTCTATGCCAAGTTTTACCCAAGGAAGTTACTACGTTTATCTCTTAGATGTGTTGAAGGATTAGTATAAATTAAACTTGCGGTTTTGGGATATATATTTTTTAATCCAGGAGAGAAAATAAGTTAAAATAAATACCTGTAGTTGTAGCCTCCATGTCTCTGCCACAGCGCTCCGGCCAACATCAGCCACGGCAAAGAGGGGGAAAACTACATGAAAAAAAGGAAAAGATTTGACAACATGGCGCACTTTTGTTGAGAAAACTTTCCTCTAGGCAGTCTGCAGGCAGTGTTACGAGGTTATTAACATCTGCATCGTAGATGCCGTGACCGAACAGTGACCCCAAGAAAAGATACGGAAACTTAAGCTGGCGATAATAAGTCAATCGGTGTGGGTTGGGATGAGAGCGACAACCATTGGAGCTAAGCAAAGCAGTTTCCCAGGATGGAGAAGAAACCGACTCTCAAAGAAAAGGTAAATAGTCTAATCGCTCTAGATCAAGACAAGCATTTTCAAACGCAGCCTACCTCCGCTTGGGAATGCTAAACAAAAAAGTACCACCGCATATCAACTGTGAGAAATGAAATAAAGTTTTTGCTGCATGTAGCAAGCACAACTTTTTCTCAGTCATAAGCTATGTGCACATGACAGGCTAACAGAGTGGACTCAGATCCTATAACGTTGTTGAGATCTGTATCTTTCTGTTATTGACACTGAACAAGACAAATAGATTAGTTAGTTCCATGGACTTTAAGTGCACCACCCAAATTTCAAGCTCATGTTTCTTCACCTTCTGTGTCCACAAAGCAGTGCAATTAGGCTATGTTTTAGTTGATATTCTAAAATAAGAAAATATGAATTTACAGGGTTAAAAGCTAATATCTAGGCTTGCTAGTCTATCATTTATCACATCTGAAACTTTACAGCTTTTTTAGTAGCTACAACATAAAGGTAGCAACAATTTTTAAAACACGACCTTCTAAATAATAATAATAGGCCTAATAGTAGTAATAATAAAAACATTACTTATTCATTGTTATCTGGTTTGTGTGCTTGTTTATTGTCTTGGTCTAAACTGTGGTTGATGCCCAAAACCCTCATGGCTGCTGTGCTCCTTGTGCCTCTGGAAGTAATTACAGATCCTGCCCGATCCCAGAAAGTAGGTGTGGTGAGAAAGAGGTGACCTGGAAACTCTCCAAAAGTCACACAGTTTTATGGATTTGAAAATTCAGTGATATTCATCCAATAATTAATGATACTACCACTCACACAGGCCTACATTATACTATTTACAAAAAAAATAAAATAAAAAATCACTATTGTGTCAGTACTGTGTTGAACTAGATTAGTTTGAAATAAATTCATAATATTTGATGTCACCAACAGTCAATTAAACGCCTAAACCAATTATTGACTTCTTTTCTTTTTTAATTTTTTAACTTTTTCATCAGACAACAGGAATGCCAGCTGGGTGTGTGCCTCGAGATGAAGCGATCAGATGTGGTCTGAGTAAAAGTGAGTTTATGGAGAGGATCCAGCAGAGCAGTGAGGCCTGTCTGCGCGGGGACTTCCAGACGGCGCTGGATCTATACAGTGATGCTTTGAGAGCCGACCCCCAGAACTGCATCTTGTACAGCAACCGCTCAGCCGCCAGACTCAAACTGGGCCAGCACCAGGCAGCGCTGGACGATGCTCTGAAGGCAGGGCAGCTCAACCCTAAATGGCCAAAGGTATGTGACAGTATTAGTCTACTAAATAATTCACATTAACTAAGCATAATTAGGGCTGCAAGTGTATGATTATTTTAGCAGTTAACCAGAAAGAAGTTTTTTGATTAATCGATTAATCAAATGCTTAAGATACCTTTTTAACCAAATAAAAGGTTTCATAAGCTGACTGATAGATAATGATTATCAGTACTGTGTATGTATTCTAAAAAAGTTAATTTTTTTACATTTTGATTTTATAATGCTGCTGACTTCGTGATAAAACACTGGTTTTTATTATGAGTCTTTATAATCCAGTTAACAATTATAATGATCAAAATACAGCTGTGATTATTTCAGTAGTCGACTAGCCATAATTATTAATTGTTGCAGCCCAAAACATACCAAACAATGTACTGCTGATTTGGCATTATTTAGCATTAAAGTTTAATTATATAATATTGTGCAATTGTGTGATTTTAACGTCACCGTTGCTGTTTTTGTGGTCAATGATCAATACCTGTTTCTGGGGTCTTGTCTTTGATCTTGCTGGGACTGTGTGGACTAACCTGTAATAAATTTCACATTACTCAGCCTCATAGATCAGTAGAGGACCAATTTCTCTTGTGATAGAAATATATTGATTTTATGATTTAGTATGGAGAGATACTTTTGTCTCAGAGAAAGAGTGATGATAATGTGGTAGAGTGAGACTGATGGTGTGTTCCCTTTACCTAACTCTTGTTTAGCATAGATATATGAATGTATGTAAATATTTGTGCATACATTAACAAAATTTATTATAAATAGTACATAGAACATCATTGTGTATGAAAATGTGTGAAGGATATTGTTACCCATTGTATGTATTTATGTGTATTTAAAACAACCAAAATGTGCCAAATGGGAATTTGTCAAACATTCTAGTTATACAATATTAGTCACTTTAGTCAACCCTCTATTCTATCAACTTGTCCTATTTGATGTTGATTATTTTCAGTTGCCACTAGGGGTCAGTTTTGTCAAAGAGATTATTGAACAAGGACTAGCACTAAAAAATGTCCACTGAAGTAATTTCCTGGTTTCAGGGATAACTGTACATTGTTTGATATTTTATGGCTGTTAATACAGGGTAATACACATTTTTTTCATATATGTACTATATCATTGAAGACCACAGAACCTTCACTTGCCAAACTTGATTAATCAATAAGAAAGAGATTTCAACTAAGGCCTCATGCAAGATAATTATTGCTTTATATAAGCCTGTAGTGTGAAGAATGCTATGAATTATTGTGTCATTGCATTCAGACTGCTTGGGAGAATCGATTAATAACTTATATCACTGGCTTGAGGGAAGCTAGAAGCCCATTTGCTGTGACTGGATGTTGGATGAAGGGAACAGGGATTAAATCAGAGAAGTGTGCTGGCATTTAGATCCTGTGCGAGTCCATAATATCATCAATCATATGTCCTCTGACCACACTTCTGGATTGGCCTGTCAGATGGTGACAGCCATGGTTTTGCTGCCCCAAGCACCAGCGAGCAGCCCACCCTCTAAAGTCCAGCAGCCACACCGTACAGGAGCCCCTTGTCTCATCTGTCAGCTTTGCTCGCTGCATGTGCCAAAAACACATTCTGTAAAAAGAAAAGAATCCTGCAGTATAATAACCCTGGACAGCTTTAGGCTCTTTGTACCTCACCTGTGATTGAATATAAAAAGCTTAAACAAGGACAAAATAGGGTGTCATTTAGGAGCCATGTAGTGGGGAACATGCTGTGTATCAGTTTGGTTTCAATATATGATACAAAAGTCAAAACGGATAGAGCCAAAATATGATATATTGAGTTTCCCCGTAATAAATGTTGCAGCAAAAGGAGCTTTACTTTACAAATCTGCCTGAATATATTTTAATTCAAGATATCTGCAGTTTTATCACAGTTCAAGGCAGTGAGCACCACATCCACCTATGGCTCGTGTGCCTATCTGCGCTCCATCTGTCCCTCTCTGTATAGTTGTGTGCTATAGTGGCATGTTAAACAAACAGCTTTTCCTGCTATCAGCCCCAGCCTCTTGCGTGAGTGCTGTCAGGGGAGCACTCAAGGAACCGAAAGACAAGTGGCTCTGCTTTACCACAGGGACGAGCTTCTATCATTTGCATATTCTCTGATTATATGTAATGATGGGTTCTATTTAGGGGATTCTCGCTCCTCCACTACCCTTCTACATGATGCTGCATCTACTCTAAAAACTGATTGTACCTTAAGTAATTTCCTCAGAGTATGTACATTCATGTTATTTTCATTTTAGTGGCACAAAACGAGGCATTTATGTCCCTCTGTGATGGCCTTGGTTTAACTGCGAGAATGAATGTTTGCTGTGGAAAGGTCAGTGTGTGTGGAGCTCTGCAAAGGGATGTTCATTACAGTGACAGTGGATCCTCTAATTGTCTATAAGGTCTGCATAAGGTCTGCATACAGACAGTCATGTGTAGCATATGTTTTTTTTTCTTTCTATTTTCTTTACTGATGGTGCTAGCTATTTCCAGGTTGTATATAACATTGGGGTTTGGTCTAGTTTAACAGAAAGTACAAATGATGTGCTTTAAATAGGAAACATGCACCCTTTAATCACTCTTATGCACCATTCATTATACATGGATGTAATGATGAACGTAATGTAGATATAATGTGTGTCTACTGTGGCATTGTTTATTTTGACATGCCTTTGTTTTTGTTGTCTACAGGCTACTTGTATCCACAAAATGAGTCACAATGCAAAACAGTGATCTGTCCTTTGGTACACTAGATAAACAGTTGTGTTTGCACATTAACAGAGGAGCATTTGTTAGTTTGTGTGACGTGCGCTTTGGGTTAAAATAAGGTCTTTTCACCAGTTTCCCTCTGGTTGCCCTCCACAGTTGTTTTCCGTCACTGCAGAGCTCACCATGGAGAGAACAGAGTCATGAACCACTAATAAGAGGGTTCCGATGTGCTGCGACCCAGCTGAGGCTTAAACTAATGAACAAATCAAATGAACGCCATGTAATTATAGGCCGCAGAGCGCGGGACGGACAGAGGGTTGGCGCTAGTGGGCACAGACGTGACATTATTTGTCTGGAAAATTTGTGGAGAGAGCAGAAGCTGTGATGTTCTGGTTCTTTTCATTAAGCACATACATACAGACCATGTTGAAGAGACAGTGACTAACCTCAGTTAGGATGCATGATGTTCAGATGAAGCTTGAAAAATGCAAAACACAGCAATTCAAACAAAACTGTCGAAAATAACTAACATGACATGTTACTGTCTGAAACCAGAGTGTGGCCCTGTGCCTGCTGTATTGCTTAGTGAAATACTGAGATGATGTCAGGCACCAACTAAACTCTATGTTCCTTCCTCTACCTTTAATTCCTTATAATTTAACATGACCGATTCCAAAAGCTCACCCAGGTTGCTGTGATGGTGGCCAAGTGGTTTTCCCTCTCTGCCACCCAGGCGCCCCACCAAATTACAGTCTCTGGTAAAATTTAATCGGTTTCCACAAAACGGACGTAAACATAGAAATGAACAAAACCAATCCATCATTCTGCAGTGGCCGTAAATGCTTTTGTTCCTGCATGGTGATGTAATGTGCATGACCCCCTGGTCACTGACGGAGGTTTGTCTCACTATCTGGAGACAGGATGAGTCAGACTGCAGCTGATGTCACCCAGGTTTTAATTTGTCTACATACAGCGAACGCAGTGATCATCATGCTGATAGTCTCCAAATTACACATGAAAGTAAAAAGGGAAAATCAAGCTCTGTTTGCCAAATTGGGTCCAAGCATTGTTCGGTAAAAATCCCAACACTTGTTATGCCACTTTGCAGATAAGTAATTCAGAAATTAAATGCAGCCGTTCTCTGTCCCTGCAGAAATAAAGCTTGTCAAAGCCTAGGT